ATGCTTTTCCAACAAGGCAAGGCAGAGCCTATTTATATTGTCCATTCACCAACACACCCATTTATATTGCAAAGCTCACTATGTGAAAAAAAGTAGAGAATAATTGTATTTTGTCTTTTCTCGCCTTTTCACGTCATTCAACATTTCAGCTCAGAGAATGACAAACAGGATGATTTCAGTACTGGAGTAACATTTATTTCACCCAAGGAAAAGCACTAGATATGAAGCTACAATTGTCCCATTTAGCAGTTTCCACAAACCCAAGGTGAGTCCTTCCTGCATTTGTGACAGGTATCCTTTGTGCAGTGCACACAACGCTCAGTGCTGTTGTTTACTGTTGCAGAGATTGCACACCTGGTCTGCTTATAATAATGAAAAAACCTCAAAAATAGAGTTTAGCATATATTCTGAAAGTAAGAGTTGTAGTATGAACTAGACTTGTAGCACTGTGTGTGCTACAAGTTTAGTGGCACTACAATGATCTATAGGGTAATTATTGCTCATTTTGTACTTATTCTTATAATAAAATAGTGGTGCCATTTGTTATTTAGGCTTTGGGAAATTCCTCAATAAAGTATTATTTTCGAATACAATAAATGTGTTATGAAAGATATGAGAAGAGATACATATTAAATGAATTTGATAATAATGTACCTCTCCTTGGTGACCCTTTTGAATATTTCACTCTGATTATTTTGCAACTTGCAGACGGTCCCTTGCAGAGGAGTGAGCTCTGCATAGAGTCCAATGTCGTTCTCCCAGCGCGATAGGGACCCCCATTTCATCATTCTATCTCTATTCTCCCACTCTGCAGAATCTGTTAGTTCAATCCCTAACGATATGTTCTCCCTGACTTTTCTCATAGTAGCTTTGCCTCGTCTGTTCCTGTTTGCCTGTGGCTCCACCCTTGAGAGAAATATCAGCTGTGCTGCTGCCATCAACACCTTTTTTTATAGATGTTGGAGATCGGCCTGTTTTCCAGTGTAGTCCTGTTTCTCTGACTTTTACTGGCTGGATGTGCTATCTTCATCCTCTGACATAGCAGTTGGCTTGGAGCTCGTCTGCCTGGCTGTGTGTGTCCTGGACCGGCCCGCCTTTTACAGTTGCTTTTTACATCTCTGCTTCTGTCTCCTTGAACCCCAGTCGGTCTCAGCAGATGGCCGCTCACACTGAGCCTGGTTCTGCTGGAGGTTTCTTCCTGTTATAAGGGAGTTTTTCCTCTCCACTGTCACTACAAGCATGCTTAGTGTGAGAGATTGCATTCGAGTCAATGAGTCGATGCAATCAACTGGTTTTCCTTAAAAAACTTTGAATCAATTTGACTGTATGATCTGGTGAACTGGAAAGTGCCATGAGATGACATGTTGTGAATTGGCGTTATATAAATAAACTGAATTGAATTGAATATCTATTTGTTTCCTTTAAAATTACAATTGCTGGAATCATGGCTCTTAAAGCATGAGCTAATGTGCAGCAATTGTTCCAACTGTATGGGGGTTTAGAATTACATGTACATTTTTACAAAATATTTGACTAATTGAAGGTAATGTTGCTGTTTGCATTGACTAATTTCAGTCCCCGTTTTAATCTGGTGCAAATTTGGAGGAAGCCCAAGATTAGGGTGATGGGAAGGATGCCTTCCTCCCTCCAAACACTGTAGCTCATCACCAAAAGTACTTCCTGGAAATATCTATGATGCATGCAGGAAACCTTTCATTGCTAAAAGTCAAACCAATATTTTTCCATTGATAATTGAAAAACATAAAATAAATTTAAATAAAATTGAAAAACTTTTTTTTAAAACTGATTCTCATTTTAGTAAGTATACATTAAGTATAGCATTAAATATGTGTAGACCATTTTAGAAAATGTACTTTTTTTTATTGAATATAATAAAGATTGCTATTTTTTAAAGAGCTTTACTTACCTTTTAGCTTTGGAGCTGAAAAACCCACACCTAAAACTAAGTAAATAGGGAAAAAAAAAAAAGGCTAAGGTCAAATTGCTGAAATCATTTTACTGCCCTGTATTAGCTGCCCTGGAAAAATTACATCAAGTTTAACTGAAATGAGAGATTTTAGAATTTCTGTATAGCATTAAAAATGTTTAAACCATTTTTTAAAAATGTACTATTTATTTAATTGAATATGATAAAGAATGCAGAGTTATTGTTTTTTTTAAGGGCTTTACTTACCTCTTAATCTTAAGAGATAAGATCAAATTACTGAAATCATTTAACTGTTCAGTATTAGCTATGCTGGAAAACTTACTATAAGTTTAATTTAAATTAGAGATTTAAGAATTTTCACATAAGTATAACATTAAAAATATGGAGACCATTTTAGAAAAGTTACTTTTTATTACTTACCTTTACGATGTGGAACTGAACAAGCCAAAGCTAAAACAAAGAGGTTAAAAAAAAAAAAAATCTAAGATCAAATTACTGAAATCATTTAATATCAATCTTATTAGCAATATATCAGTAAAACTGTGTAGACAAAAAGACAAAAATAAAGAAATAAAAAGTGTAGAGAAATTTTTTTATTTTTTTTTTAAATTAATAAAAGCTACAAGTGTTGGTTATCACTATTTGGTCAACAACAAAAATCCTACAGTGATTTCCTGGATCCAAAATGTATTACCTTAGTTTTGCTTCAGCTTTTTTGTCATCAATTTATTGATTTCCAAGTTTCTTTCCCTCAACACTTGAATGTGTTCAGTCATCATTTGACATTGTAATGTAAAGTTGTGTATCCTCTGTATACTTATGGTAACACATAGTCTTTTCTTATAATATGAAAGAAGGGAGCACATAAATGATGAATGGGGGGTTCCAACACGAACCTTTAAAGAACACTGTGATTTTTATGGTCTCTGATGTAAAGTTACCTACTGACACCTAAAAGCCCCTGTCCTTCAAGTAGGATTAAAGAGTCATGTTATGTACTGCAAAGGATAACCCAATTAATCCAAATAAAAATTAGACATCTGATGGACAGGCAGATCATGTCTATATTTAGTCTGATTATCAATGGCCTATTATAGTTGTCTAAACATGTGTCAACACTGAAAGTCAGACTTGCCCCTTTTTGGCGCCATAAAAATTGCCAATGCAGGTGCAGATACATATTTATTTTTATTTTTCTAACATACCCACTGCACAAACATTTATATCATTTTTATAATAGATTACATTTGTGCGACTAATCCTGGTCTCCTGAAAGTGCAGAATGAAACACCAGATGATGCAATTGTTTTCCATTTTTGAAATGTGTACACTACCGTTCAAAAGTTTGGGGTCACATTATTTTTGAAGGAAAATCACTGTACTTTTCAATGAAGATAACTTTAAACTAGTCTTAACTTTAAAGAAATACACTCTATACATTGCTAATGTGGTAAATGACTATTCTAGCTGCAAATGTCTGGTTTTTGGTGCAATATCTACATAGGTGTATAGAGGCCCATTTCCAGCAACTATCACTCCAGTGTTCTTATGGTACAATGTGTTTGCTCATTGGCTCAGAAGGCTAATTGGTGATTAGAAAACCCTTGTGCAATCATGTTCACACATCTGAAAAAAATGTAGCTCATTACAGAAGCTACACAACTGAACTTCCTTTGAGCAGATTGAGTTTCTGGAGCATCACATTTGTGGGGTCAATGAAACACTCAAAATGGACTTAAAAAGAGAACTGTCATCGGAAACTCTACAGTCTATTCTTGTTCTATTTATTTAATTGAATATGATAAAGTATGCAGAGTTGTTTTTTTTGTTTTTTTTAAAGACTTTTACTTACGTTTTAATTTTGGAGCTGAACCCTTCTTCACTAAAACAAAGAAAATAGGTATTTAAAAAACAAAAAAAAACAAAAACAAAAAAAAACAGATAAGATCAAATTACTGAAATTATTTTACTTTGCAGTATTAGCGGCTCTGGAAAACTTACCTTAAGTTTAATTTAAATGAGAGATCTAAGAATTTCCGTATAAGTATAACATTAAAAATATGTAGACCAAAAGTTACTTTTTATTACTTACTTTTAAGTAGAACTGAACAATCTGCAACTAAAACAAGAAAAATTAGGTCAAAATTACTGGAATTATTATACTGCCCAGTATTAGCTGCACTGGAAAACTTACCTTAAATTTAGTTGAAATTAGAGATTTAAGAATTTTTGTATAAGTATAGCATTAAAAGTGATTATACCATTTTAGAAAATATACCACTTATGTAACTGAATCAGGGTTTACACAGGAAGGAGGAACTCTAATTTAATGCTTTTTAATGCTCTTAGAAATAATTGCAAATTTTCCCATTCTCTATCTTTTTCTGTGCCTCAAGCTTCTGTTCTGAAAACACATGGCTTTAGGATCAACCAGGAGGAGTTCCACGCAAACACATGGAACCAGTTAAATCTGACATATTTGAAAAAAAAAAAAATTCTTTTTTTATAAAGCATTTTAAATGCCATGATAATCATTAATTCATTTTAATACCAATTAAGGCCTTAATTAAAAAAATTATAATTTAATGACTTTTAATGATTTGTAATAACCCGCAGAAACCCTGTGAATATGATAAAGAATGCAGGGTTGGTTTTTAAAGAACTTTACTTACAAAAACAAATAAAATAGGTAGAAAAAAATAAATCCCCCAGCTGAGATCAAATTACTGAAATAATTTTACTGCCCAGCATTAGCTGCACTGGAAAACTTACCTTAAGTTTAATTGACATTTAAGATATAACAATTTTCGTATACCATTAAAAATATGTAGATCATTTTAGAAAAGTTACTTTTTATTTAATTAAATTAGATAAAGAATGCATGGTGGGGTTTTTTTCCTCAACAATTTTTTGAAATAGTTTTATTTCCCAGTATCAGCTACTCTAGCTTCTAGGATGTCATAAACAATGAGATCCCTGATCATCAATCACAACATATGATCCATAAAATCTTCAATACTGCTGTATCATGACACTGTTAGGTTTCTGTTTCTGTTATGTTTTTCTTTTGATGTTCAATTTTGCTTTGATTAATAGTTTTTTTATGGTTTAAATCTTATTTTGTTGTGTTCTTTGGGTTTTTCTCAGTTACTGTTTCAGTCTCGGCTCTGTTATGTTTTTCTTTTGAGTTTTCAGTTTGCTTTGCTCCATGTTTTATATTCTTTGTGGTTTATTTATTATTTTGTTGTGTTTTCTAGTTATTTCCAGTCTTCTAGGTTTTTAATTTGTTCCCCTCTGCTGCCCTCTTGTGTTCTCCTTTTTTCCTAGCTCTTTTCCTCTCCTGCTCATTTGTTCCAAATCTTCCCACTAGCCCTCCCTTTGTCTCAGTCTCCTTTAAATGCTCTCCCTCTTCAGTTCTTGTTTGCTGTGTCCTCATCAAACTTCGTCTAACATGCTCCAACTTCGTCTCTCTGAGCCTTCCTCCCTTCCACCAATTTCTTAACAAAATACGTTGATATAACCATAACACATGCAAGAGTTGAAAAAGTAGATTATAACTCGAAACTGAAAGAAAGAAATTCTTAACAGGAAAAAAATGAAATCACTCACTCATGCATCCACGATAAGCTGTTGGAATATTTCTCCGCACCAGTGGTCCTTGAACTGCCTTGCCACTGGCTTTGTTGACAGCAATGAACGCAGTCAAAGAGCTGCTCACTCCTGATTGGACACTGAGCTCCACCACCTTCTTCTTCACTTCTTCATCCTGCTGTCCTCTTTGTGTCCTCTGCTCCGACTCCAGGGAGCGAATCACAGTGCGAGAGGCTAACCTGTGGACTGTTAATCTGCATAAAGGAGGAAGAGACATTTATTGGTAAAGCTTAGTTAATGAACAAACTGTCTCTCATTCCTTTTTCAGTATTTTCCTCATATCATGATCCACTTATTAAATGTCCCCAAAGAAGAAAAAAAAATACTTTTTCATCAAGCAGCAAAGTCAGCCTCCTTAATCGCAGTTTACTTTTCATTAGGGCTGGGCAAGTTAACAAGTATATTTTACTTTAAATCATTAGACTATTAATGCCAATATTAACTTTATCGCATGTTAACGCATGTTGCTTTTATTTTTTGAAAGTCCGACTGGATTCTGGGAGGAAAGTTTTTCTCCACTAACGTGAGTCCCGTTTTCTCTGTCTCTCCAAGTTGTCGTTCAAGGTTCCCACGGTTCCTGAACTAACCACTGATACTTCCCTTCCCTCTTCCAGTTCCGGTTTACCAGTTCACTGTGTTTCCTGAATCCAACCACGCTGGTTTCATCAATAAACCTGTTCAAACTTTTACCCTGGTTCTCTGAGTGGTTTACTGCATGTGGGTCAGATCTCTTAAGAAAATCATGACAGTTTGCTCCCGTTAATGATAAATCTTCCTCGTGCTCCAGGGTTACCTGTGGAGTACTGCAAGGATCAGTTGTATGACCAATTCTCTTTACTATATACATGATCCCAATTGGTGGATTTATTAGACAGCATGCGATTAATTTCCAATGTTATGCTGATGATACTCAGCTATATCTGTCTATAAATCCAGATGAAACTAACCCATTACATAGACTACAGACATGTCTTGAAGACATAAAAACCTGGATGACTCTTCTTACCTCCTTCCTTACAGGCAACATATTAAGGAAGGAGGTAAGAAAAGTTCAAAATGTTCCTTATGACAAGAAAAAAATTATTTCAGATATAAGAAATGCTATTCATACAAACTATTAAATATCAAAGCAGCCTGCCATAGTCTGCTGTAATCACAATAACATCACAGTTTGAATGGTAGAGTATCACTGTCAGAGTCTTGGTCTGTTTGTTCCTGTTTTTCTTGGTTTTCCATTTGTTGTCCTCTGCTGCCCTCTTGTGTCCTCCCTTGCTCTGTTTCTCTGTTCTGCCTGCACCTGTTTTAAATTTCCTCGTCAGCTCTCTCTTTGTCTCTGTCCCCTTTAAAAGCCCTCCCTCTTCAGTTCCTGTTTGCTGGATCCTCGTCTAACATCTCGTCTTACTTCCCGTCTAACTTCTGTCTGTGTACCTCGTCTCTCCCTGGCTCCTAGTTTTGGTTCACCCCTGATGTCTCCTTGGTTCTGGTACGTTTGTTATCTTCAGTTGGACTCTGATTCCTGCTCCTGGATCTGTGAACCTAAATAAACAGACTTTAATTCACCTCTGCCTACTGGTCTCTGCGTTTGGGTCCTCCAAACAAACACCGCCTCATGACAATCACTGTATTGTCTTTAGATGTAATCTCACAGGAGAGATGTACCCCTGGCAGCACGTGTGTCATGGTCTTACTTTCTGTTTAACTCTGAACTGTGGGTTTCATTGGTTTATTTACTACTTTGTGTTTCTAGATATATTTTAGTGCTTAGGTTTTTCTTTGTTGTCCTCTGTTGCCCTCTAGTGTTTGTTCCTTTTCCCTTGGCTTCCTCATTATCTCCACTCACACCTGCTCCTTATCAGCTCGCTAGCCCTGCCTTTGTTCAGTCAGCCACATATACTCTCCCTCTGCTGTCTCCCATTGCTGGTTCCTTGTCGTTACTTGGTCCTCGTTGCTGCTTCTCATCTTACCTCGTCTACCCTGGCTCCTTGTGATTGTTTTCCCCTGATGTCTCCATGGTTCTGGTTTGTTAACTTTTTAAGTTGGATTTTATGATTCCTGCCCTTTTTTACTGTTTTTACCAATTAAAACTGCAAGAAATCACCTCAGCCTCTCTGCCTCTGCATTTGGGTCCTCTCAACCCCAACCCAAACGTGACTAGGTGAAGATGAAATATATAAATGTTGTTCAAACAGGTAAGACCTGTGCATCCGCTCATGGAATTCCTCCGCATTTTGATCTCGTCTACAATGACACAGTAAATACTAAGTGCTACTTTGACTGTGCAGTTGTTTTCTATGATGCTGTTATCATGCATCAATGTGCTCTCGCCAAAATGAATCTCTGCTAAATACCTGTTAAAGAAGTCTGTGTAATGCTGCAAAATTCAGGATAAATAAGGCTGTGGATGTATGTGATGGACTGAGAGGTAAAACAGTAGTGCTCATAAAGATATCTGAATAGATAAGGACATTTATATGTGGTCTGAGAACCCTTTCCCTATAAATAATTAATTCTCTGCAAATTCATGCCGCTCATTCTTTTCTTTTATCCTCGCCAAAAGGACAAGCTATGTTTGTGTTTTTAACACCTAATGTT